TCTTTTTCAAGAGCGAATAATGCTCCCAAAGGTCAAGTTGGGAGAACGCAAAAAAGAATTTTCAAATGGGCAATGAATTTAAAACTATTGAAACATTTTGTTAGTGAGCCTCTAATTCAATTCTGTTTTACGACAATATATTATTAGTAGTAGTAGTACTAGTATTCCTTGGACCGAATCTAAGAATAAACATGAAGTTTATTTAGCGAAAAAGGATACAAAACAGGACATTCATACTTAACATCAGCAAAATACAGTTGAAATTTCTATCCGCACATAAGGAGGAAAGAGGGTTTGAAAAATCTGAGATTCACGGGACAGATTGAAGATATGTGGTACAGAGGAAAACAACGCATAACCTACGAAGTGAGCATGAGTATGTGGGTGATGGATCACATTTTAGGAAATAACAAAAGATAAAATTTATTAAGGGCTACAAAGGACATGATATTTTGGACAGCCATACGTGCTGAATGAACAAGGAATAACAACAAGAACAACAGAAAAAGAAGAAGAAGAAGAAGAAGAAGAAGAAGAAGAAGAAGAAGAAGAAGAAGAAGAGTTTTTGTGTTTGTTGTGGTTGATGTTGTTGTTTGCCCACTTTAACAAACCTCAAATCTATTTCCGAACGACAGGATCGGGAAAATTCTCGAAAAGGTATTACTTATTCAAATACACACACACAAGCACACACACACACACACACACACACACATATATATATATATATATGTATATATATATATATATATATTAATGTATGTTTCATTAAATAATATAGACAAGTTTTGTCTATTTATTTTAATTCCTTTCATATTGTAGAATAAGCTTTTATCATTATCACCGAAAAATTATCATTTCAGTGATAATGCTAAACTGATAGCCTGACTTTAAAATGAAGTGTAATTTTATATAAATAACTTAAATTATAGGAACACTTGGTCGATAAACTGCAGAGAAGATAGATAGATAGATAGATAGATAGATAGCCGTCTCTTCTACTCCAATACCTTCATGTTTTGCACTTCCCGTCTATGGAACTTCCTTCCTCTTACCTGCTTCTCTAATATTCAAATGCAATGTCAATCGACATCTCCAGATGACTTGATCTATTCTCCGGCCTTAATCCTTTCCTCACGCGTCTTTACTATTGCGCACACTCTCTGTAACCCCTTGCGTGCTAGTGACACTCCCGCCTTGCTTGGGGTTAAATGCTGAAAAAGAATATAAAAAAGCACTGTCCCAAACTCATTTGTCTTCATTATATCCACTTAAGCGCTAATACTCTTGAGAAAGGTTTCAATTCACGTCTACACTCTTTGAGATATGGGTTAATTAACATCAATTTTATCTCCGATGTAAAAAAATATTTTCTGGTCTACAAAAGTTTGATAGGACGTAAAAAACAGCTCAATCAATAAATCATATATTTCTTGGCGGTGGTGGGAGGCCATTTTGAAGAATAGAGCCTCAGTCTTTCAGTCAGAAAGACATCAACGAATTCCAAACATATTTCTAGTTTACATCCGGAGGCAAATCATTTCCATTCAAACAATAGTAAATCCTCCGATGGCGGACGTGTCTCTGATTATACCATAAATTTTGATTACATTTATACCTAATCAATAATTATTTCCTTCCTAAATATAAGACCAAAGCTGAAATTTGATTTATGTCAGATTGTTGTCTATCGAAGATTCGGTCAATTTGAGATGAATACGAACTAACAAGTACGCTGAATGTTTATCGAAATAAATACTTCATTTCGACAGATGAATATTAAGAATACTCTTTAAAAAGAAGGCTTTATTTTTTTTACTGTTAGAATTTGTGAGAATGTCGAGATGAAGGTGTAGAACACTGGACGGTGTGTCTCATACATCTCTGACCAAAATATCTAAGAATTAAGTAAAGATAAAGAAAAGATTTTAGGCATATTCAGCTACATTGCAGCTTGAGCCAAGCGCAAGAAAGAAAATTATTATTCAAAAAGTAATATGCGCTTCTTCGGCAGGAATAGAACCTATAACCCATAATGGGTGCCATTATTTGACATGATGTACTGTCAACCATTCAACCACAATTAATTTAAAAAAAGCATTTGCTTAAATAAATTATATCTACCAAAATGACATATTGTCTGATAAGCTTAATAACATTATCATTGAAAGATGAAAGAAAACAACATATTGATACATGTTTTTAATCCTATCTAAGCTTTCGGCTTACATAAGCCCTTATCAAAGAAAGCTTAGATAGGATTTTAAAAAAATGTATCAATATAGTGTTTTCTTTCATGTCTCAATGATAATGTTAGTATGCTTGTCAGGCAAGGAATTTACTTAAAATAAATAGACAAAACTTGTCTATATTATTTAATGAAACATGCATCAATGAATAAATGTTGCCTTAATACAATATATATATATATATATATATATATATATATATATATATATATATATATATTTGTCAACTATTTACCAGAGGTAGTTATAGGTTTCTTGTTTACTTGCTATTTTTATGATAAACAAACGTATCATTGTTTACAATCTTACAAATTTCCCTCCTGTCATACCCGTCACAATATTTTTATAGGTCCTCGAGTAAACCCAAAGAAAACTTACTTTCCCTATCCTTTTCCATCAAGAAAATTACTTTTTGAAATTACTTTCTGACTAATAGATTGAGGCTCTATTATTCAAAATCTACGACAGATACCAATGTCTATCATTAGGTCAGCATCTCTGTTCCATCATTTAACTGCCATAATGGTTAAATGTAGCTGTCTCTTCGACTCTAATTTTCATGTCTCGCACTTCCCGTCTGTGAAACTCCCTTCCTCTTACATGCTTTCCTGATAGCCATAATCTCCAACAATTTAAATGCAATGTCAATCAAAATCTCCAGATACCTTGATCTATTCCACGATCTTCTCTTCATCCTTTCCGCTATCATGCCTCTTTACTATTGCTCCCATTCTCTGTAATCCCTTGCGTGCTAGTGACACTCTCGCCTTGCCTGTGATGAAAAGTTTTCAAAAAAAAAATGAAATAGTGAAGACAAAAGGAAAACTTCGACCTTTTATGGACTTTATCAAAGCGAATGTAAGAATTTTATTTTCCTACAAGTGCTTATAAACAAAAAGTAAAAATACTGTTAATTTTTTCAATTTTTTTACATTTAAGAACGCTCATAAATATGCATCAGGCAAACTGAAATGTGGAGGTAGATTATGGTGGCTGCTAAGTGACATAATTTAATGTCGAAGAAACAAAAAGTTGAGTAAATATTTTCTTTTTTTGTCATTCAATAATTTAATTAATATTTATGCCATTATATTTTCAATGATAGAATGTTATGAGTTTAATCATTATCTTTTCATTTTTTTAACATTTTTATAGCCATGCATATAGGCTTGGGAGAGTAATAATTCTTTCATAACGGCACCGTCAAGAATCTTCCGTCTGACTACGTTACCTTGTCTTTTAATATGTTCGGCATTCTTTTCATTGGAATTATGGTTCAATTTATTGCTATGCATGACTAATGTATTTGAGAAATTATTGTGCAATAACATACTTTTTTGTGTTAAAACCTAACATAAAAACCTTACATTTGCCGTGATAAAGTCCATCAGTGCGTTTTCCTTTTATCTTTATTCATATTCTCCTCTATCTTTATTCTTAACTTTATTTATATACGCCTTTATCTTTATTCATATATATATATATATATATATATATATATATATATATATATATATACTACCGTTCAGAAATGTTTGACTCATGATAATTTTTTAAATTGGCCTAAAAAGTAGTTGTTTTGTACTTTAAATGAGAGACAATTATTATATATCGTTAAAAAGTGAGAAATGATTTTTATTAGATTTTTATTTTGCCAAAAGGAAAAAAAAAAGCACTTTAAGATTAAATTTTGCTCTACTCAAAATATCCTCTATTAGCCTTGATTACTGCAGCACATCTTTGGCATTCGTTACAAATTTCTTCAACATATAAGTTTGATACATGATTTTTTTTCAAAGAGCTATTTTTTATTTTTTATCACTCCTCAGGATGGCTTCAAACCTTTTAAACTCTAGTATATACATTTTACTACCCGCTTATATTTCATAATCCTACACTCTAACACTTTTTTACTGAACTTATATATATATATATATATATATATATATATATATATATATATATATATATATAGATTGTTAGAAAATGCAAATTCATTCAAAAGAACTTCATTAAAATCGATGAAGTAAGTTTATCTTTGCGGCTTCGTGGTTAAGAGTATAACGAGAAGGGAAGCCACGATATTGCAAAAGTTCTGGAAAAACATACTCCTCAACAATCGAATAAGTAGGGAATAATGATTAGTCGATTTGTGTATTCTTGCGGGTCCTAGTTGCAAAGATACTGACTGGTGGTACCAATGACTGTAGTATTCCCGAAAATCTGCCGTAAAAATGGTGATAGCCAAACTCTTTTGACGTCGGTCGCATCTTGAATGTGAGGGCTGGGCTGCTCCAGCCAAGATGCGGTAGTAATAATCCATTTTTGGTTTGATATGGCTCTTATATATAGAGAGCATGGCAGGAGGAATCCGGTACTTTCGGAAGTGATAAATACAGGCGATCATTTCTTTTCCCTTCATTTTTTTTAGCAACGGATTGTATATACGTTCCAGTTGAGGTCTGAAGTGAGCTTGAATCCCAATTAGACGTAGAAGCCTCATTGTCTATTTAGTGCCTGTTTAAAATTATCCTCTTTATATAACAGTCAGGCATCCGGATTAAATTTATCACAAAACCGTTCATAATTCAAATGATTTTTTCTTCACGTTCTTTCAACCATCTCTATTCATTATCAAGAACATTATTTAAAAGTATTAAGCATTAACTACAAGAAGACAAAATGTGTGGTCACTAAACAAGGGAGATAACAAGAGGAAGGTTACTATGTTGCAGTATTCAGACCTTCAGTTTTTTTATTACTTTATCTCTCAGTAAAATACTGTTTTTCCCTAGTCGTTTCCTTAATAAATTTGATCAACATTCTTCTTTACTTCAGTTGTTCCTTGCCTCCTTCTTTGGCTTTTGTCGAGCATCACAACTCCGTCCTCTTGGCATTTCGGATCACGCTGTTCTATCTGTTGATATTTCTTTTCTTTTGAGTCGTCTATTAGATATGAAACTCTTAAGACTTCTTTCTGTTACCAGCGTACTGAGTGGGATTCCTTTCGTGACAATATTTGAGAGGCCACTTGGATTGATATTCTTAAACGTCATTTTGAGAAATGTGGCACGGAGATTCTTTCTTTGCTTAAGGCTAACATTGATGATTTTGTACCTTCTCACAAATACCATGACAAATAACTATCTTCACTTTAATTCGCACTGGACTGTTCTGCTGCTATAACTCAGAGGAATGACTTTAGCCGGGGGTATTAGCGTGATAAAGCCGATCGCAACAGGCGACTATTTGGTTGTAATAATTGTAAACGTGTCATCAGAGGTTAATTCATTGAGGCTATTGGTTCATGTGGCGACTGACTACTCTGTAGTAGTTTGTTAAATAAGAATAAGTCTTCTATTCCTCCTCTCTTTAATCAATTTGAGTTATAATTAATAACTTCTGCCAATAAAGCAGAGTGTCCTGCTCGTAAATTCTCTTAGAATTCTAAACTTGACTCATCAGGAGTATCTTTGTCTGACTTTCCAATTAGTCTCTATTGAGTGAGAGGCATATAACTTTGTCCATGGTTTCTGCTATCATCTCTAAACATGATCCTCATAAACATATGAAGTTAATGGTATCTCGATATTCTTTAAGAAAGGTGCGCCTGAACTTGCTCTTGTTCTCTCCAAACTGTACAGTAATTATTATTGCTGACTCTTGCATTTTTGGAAAATCTACTTCTGTAGTTCCAATCTTTAAGAAATTAGGCATGCCGTCTACTCCTTCTAATTATTGCATTATAAGCCTTCTATCTCTTTTTGTTAATGTACTAGGGGCTCTAATTAACTCTGAATTGATTAAGCAGCTCACTTCGCAGCGTTTACTTTCTGATAACAAATATGGCTTTCGCATCTCTAGGGTAAGTACTTATGTATTAACAATTATTGGTGAAAGATTCTATCAAGCTTTAAATAAGAATGGCAAAGCTCGGACTCTTTCTTTGGATATCTCGAAGGCATTTCACAGGGTTTGGCATATTGGTATTCTTCAAAGGTTGAAAGGTTATGGTATTTCTGAAATGGTTCAGTCTTTCTTATCAAACCGCGAAATGAAAGTGATATTTTGGCAGTTGATGTCAGAAAAGACATACAATCTGAATTCGTTAAGCATCTCGCCTCGCAGACTTTTCTTTCAGGTAAGTAATATGGTTTTCACTTTTCTGGGTCAATTGCTGATGTATTAACGATTATTGCTGAAAGAGTCTAATAAACTTTAGAGAAGAATGGTAAAGCTAGGATTCTTTCTTTAGATATCTCGAGGGCATTTGACAGGGTTTGTCATACTGGTCTTCTTCAAAGGTTGAAAGGTTATGGTATTACTGAACTGATTCAGTTTTATCAGACCGCGAAATGAAAGTGATAATTTGGCAGTTGATTTAAAAAATGACCTACAATCTGAATTGTTTAAGCATTTCTCCTCGCAGACTTTTCTTTCATATATGGGTTTGACATATTGGTCTTCCGCACAAGTTGAAAGGCTGTCATATTTCTATATGTATCTTTTCAACTGATTCAGTCTTTCTTATGGAATTACAAAATAAATGTTGTCTTGAACGGCTACTCTTCTACATCTTTTTTTTCAATAATGCAGCGCCAGATTCATGAACATAACTTGTTTTTAATTTTCATCAATGACCTCCCCGATGTCATCAGTTTTCAACTCGATGTTCATAATGATGACAACTATTTATTCATGTCTTAAAATTTAGTCTGATCCTTTATATTTTTTACATTTTTCGGACTGTCATCCTCATTCTCATTGCCATATTCACAACGTTTCGGCCGTTGTACGATCCGGCCTTCGTCAGATGATTGGAATTTTGAACCGAACACTTTATTTCGTCCCCCGGAGTAGACTCTTCAAGTTCTACGTGCCATGACTCTTCAGGATATCTCAGTTATTTCTCTTTAACTCAACTCTCCAAGATTTGTATTACCACTGCTGTAGCCTGGTATTGAGCTCATAACTCTTTGGATCTACTCACTAGATCTAACCAATGTCTTTATCCACCTAGTTTGGTTCGAAATTCCATTCACTTGCAGACCGGAGCGCACAACGGCCGAAACGTTGTGAATATGACAGTGAAGACGTCGATAACAGTCCGAATAATATAAATGATGTAAATAATCATAATACCTCATCTACCTGTTTGGCGTGTAGACCCAACATGGCGGACGTCGCGAGGAAGCGACGATGTCACACGTGATCGCGAAGAGCGGCCATTCGCAATCGCCCTACTACGCATGTTTCAAGCTACATTTTAAATACGACCGGTGCGTTTTGGAGTATGACTGTTCGACAGTGCGGCTGATTTATATCGTTTTTTATGTGCATTGGGATTTTTGACGTTGGATATATATTTTCTTTCTGGATTTTGCTATTTGTTTTTTTTTTTTTTTTTTGTTTTAACCTTAAGGTATCATATTAATTTTATAATACCTCATCTCAGAGATATAGACAGATACTGATATGGTCAAAATAGTAAGTGATATAAAAATGATATACAATTTGTTTTTAACTGGTGCAAGGAATCACTTACTTTTAACACCTTCAAAATGAAACGGCTCTCTTTAATCTTCTTAGATGTTGCAGTGCTTGAATCCAATTGGTGAAGCTGTTTTTTACCCTGTTGGTCAACAAAGTCATCAACAGCAGATATGACGTCATCATCTTTGCGATACTTGTACACAGCCATGTGTTTTTCAGGTTGGGGAACAGATGATAGTCAGTTGGCGCCAAATCGGAGGAATAGGAAGGATTATCAAGCTTTTCAAAACGACAATCACACACAGCAATCATTGAAATCAAGGGCGTTTGGACTTTCGTAACTACCGCAGTAAGTTGGCATTACACTCGCCATTGATGGTGTGCCGTTGTGAAGTCAATAAACACAATAACCTTTGCATCTCCCAAAACTTCCCTCTAGATAAACGTCTTTGACCTTCTTTAGAGCAGGTGACTCGATTGTCTCTTCGTCTCCGGCTCAAAGTAATGACCTCGATGTTCATCCTGGGTCAGTAAACATTCACGTAAACGAGATGGATCCATCTCAAAAAATGATAGATTTTCTCGTGATCTCATCTACCTGTCGCGCTTTTTATCCGACGTCAGACGCCGTGGTACCTACCGAGCAGAAACCTTCATTATGCTAAGCTCATTGTGCAGAATATTCTCAACTCCCTCACAGGATATGCTATTAACTTTGGTTATTTTATTTTTACTCATTTGCCTGTGAATTGCCTGTTTTCATGTGGTGAACATGATCAATGTTATTTTTCCCCTCGTTGGCGGCATTTACAGGACGTCCAGACATTGGGTCATCTTTCAGGCAGTCGCCTCCACTTTTAAATTCTGCTGCCCACTTTTGCACTATTGACAAAACTAGAGCGTCACTCACTAATGTAGCAACCATGTCAGCATAAATGTCTTATGAGGCTAAGCCCTTTTCTCCGAGTAATTGATAACACTACTATGTGTCAGTTTCAAGAGACGTCTCTACAAGGTACTTTTGAAATCTTTGAACAGTCAGATATCAGATTAACTAGAAAAAAACAACAATGCAGACATTAAGAGCATTGGAAATTAATGCAAGCAAAATTTCATAGCTCTAACATTATTCCTTCATAGACAGCCTTAGAACTTTTCAGCCCTCCCTCGTATACGATATGTAACTCTTTAAAGCCTTATAAATACATATTTTGGTTAATACCAATCTTATAATTTAAACATAGATTTATATAATATAATTCCACAATGCATACTACAGTCGAAAAGCGTGATATATCCTTCACATTTATTGAGGTTTAGTTATAGTTTCATCTAATGAAAATATAGTCGAAAAGTCAATAATTCTTGATGTATATTTTTGCTGCCAGGAACAACGTTTCCTTACGATGATTACCCACCTTTAACAGCAGGATCAGAATTTAGGAAATTATTCATATCATCATGGGTTTTAAGATTTACCACTTGTGCATCGTTTTGCCAGAAGATATTTTTAAAAGAGGTACGATCATCTCACCCCTACCTACAGGAGAACCTTCCCCCATCGGAATCCGCTGTCAGTAACAACACTACTTAAAATCAAATGTGGTATCAAGGGTAAGCTTACGACGTGAAAATTCTCCATTGACATATGATCATTAAATCTATGTTCTATTAAGTTGTGGTTACTTCCCCTTAATATAAATTATCCAATACGGATATATTGACTTGCTGCCATCAGAGAAGATTTAGATTTCTAGCAATTGGCCTGGTTTTACAAAGTTTACGCAGTATTTGACCTGCGGTTTCGTTTCTTCGCTTTGTTTCTCCCCGCATCAACGAGGTTTTGCCTTCATATTGACAAGAGTGATTCGGACGTTCTAAATCAATATGGGACATTGACTTTGTCTCGCGTAATATTAGCGTGGAGTGTCGACGGCGTTTTCAATGCGGAATCAAGATAAGTGGAGGGTGATAGGGGGAGGAGAAAATTCGAGTGAAAGTTGAAGTAATGTCTATTGCAATGAACACATACACTATGAATATTCATCGAACCGTTTCTCGCAACGGCGAAAAGGATGGCTTATCTCTTGTCACACCTCTGGGCATTGGTGATTAGCGGACCGGTTAAAGAAATGAATCGATTTCGAAGAAGGAGAAAGAATTCTATCTAGATATTACTAAATACAGAGATATTTAGTCTGTTTACAGCTAAATACACACACCCGCAAACGCAAACACACGCACACACACACACACACATATATATATATATATATATATATATAGATAGATAGATAGATAGATAGATAGATAGATAGATAGATATTACTGGATAACACTGACAATTAAGATTTTGCGTAGTTATTTTTTAGAAGATTGTATGAAAGCATTCTTGGTGCTTAATTACACACAGATATATATATATATATATATATATATATATATGTGTGTGTGTGTGTGTGTGTGTGTATGCATGTATATGTAAATATATATATAAATAAATATATATATATATAAAAATATATATACATATATGTAAATAAATATATATAAAATATATATAAATAAATATATATATATTCAGCTGTATCGATATGAGTTTGTAATACTCGTTTTCACGATTTTGAGATCATTAGATAATCTTTCTCTCTCCTCTCTCTCTCTCTCTCTCTCTCTCTCCCTGTATATATATATATATATATATATATATAATAGACTCCCCTCTCTCTCTCTCTGTATATATATATATATATATATATATATATATATATATATATATAAAAAATGATTGCTAATGTACTTCGGTTTATTATTTGATCTTTCATGTTTTTATAATTTATTATTTGCTGAGCATATATTATATAGAAATTGTCCAAATGTCTTGTATGTTCGAGCGCTTTCGGCTATAATATTAGCCATTAGTAAATCTGAATTTTATTTTTACTTTTAACTGAATGTATGGATTGTTTTATGTATGTATCTCGGGTTATAGTAATTTTCATTTTACAGACACGGTCAGCACATTTTGACAGTGTTCATAGTGGATATTAGTTTTTCTTTTCTAATAATATTTATGTTATTTTTAACCTTTTGTTACATGTGGACGAGGGTATTATATTTGTGTTATCAATGAGTATGATGCAGATAGATATTTGTACTTAACAGTAGTATATTTTTTTCAGTCGTTATCAATGAAACTTCTGCACACATACACAATTATATACACAGACACATGCACATACACACATCAATACACACACACACACACACACATATATATATATATATATATATATATATATATATATTAATTTAATTTCTCTTTCCTATCCCACACCTCAAGTGGAATCTTCGTTCCATCTTTTTTCCCTCCTCGGCATAATGTATGCCTGTGAGTGCGTGTATATATGCATGTATGTGAATATGTACGTATATACATGTGTGTATATTCGCATGAATAGAGAGCATATTGACTTCCTCCTCTTCCCTTTTTTTCCTATATCGCTCCAGGTGTACTAACCTAGCAATGTTCTGCTTTTTGACTGCCTTGTCTGAGTGAAAACTTAATTTTTTTTTTCTTTTAGTGGCTAGTCGGTTGAGAAATGACCCGAAATGTATTTATTCTTATTTTTATTTACTTATTTTTGTCTCTACCTACCCCTTTGTCTAATGAACTCTTTGATAACTTTTCCACCAAAATATAGTAGGGTGGATGGTCTACCCCTATAAAACTAGATAAGTATCACGAGTTGGCGTCGAAAGGTTGAATATTGGAAAGACACTTCTGCGACCCTCTCAAAATGTAAGGAATCGTAAATTTTATACCATTTTTAAACTGAAATTTTCCTTTTCCCTGATTTCATTCTAAGTCTCTTTGACTTTATTTTACGTTTTCAATTTTCAATTTTTTTTTTTTTTTTAAGTGAGATATCCCTCATTAATATACACAGATATTCCACCTGGTAGTGGACACTCCGACTTATAATAGGTTTAAGTTTTAGTCAGTGCCATGTCTATACGCATATGATATCTCACTTATTACAATACTCAATTACGAACTCTTGGAACCTGTGGATTTGTTTATTTACTCCCCATCCGTACCAATCTCATTATTGATCGTGATTGACGAAGACAGGCATTCTGTTGAAATAATATTTAACATTATCAAACACTGTTTTTTTTCTTTTTCTTTTCGTAAATCGCGCTCTTCTCTTAACTGTTAATAATAATAATAATAACAATAATATTAATAATAATGATTCAATTTTTATTTCTATTATCATTATTATTCTTATTATTATCGTGTGTGTGTGTGTGTGTGTGTACGGCAGTGGGAGAGTTTGATTAACTGTGTGGCATTGTATACATTTTAAATGTAATAAATTATAATTTGTTTTGAAATTTGCTTTAAAATTGTAATGTATATTGGTCCAGAAAGAAAGGGTTATATTTATATCGCCAGTTTCTACAAGCAATAATAAAGAAGATATCGTAATTTTCAAAGCAGACAGCTCTATCAATTTAGATCGGTGTAAACCAATTCTTTTTACAACCAGTTCTCCTCCTGCTACCTTTCCCTTGAACCAGATGAGTCTATGCCTTGTAAATATCAATGAAGGGTCAGAATTGATACAATGTTCTCTCAGAATTGGGAGCATAACCCCAGCTTAGCCCTAAAATGATTCGTTCAAAGCAAGAAATTACTAGGGAAATATATTGTTTCACTTTTCCTTTCAATTTCCTTACAGGAAATTGACA